AGAGCCTGCTGAAACTGGGAATCTGTGCAGCAAAGCCCAAGTTCTGCCTCCGGGGAGACCCATGGGGAGCGCTGAAGTCCTCCTAAAGTGCTTTGCTTTCATAACGATTAGAAAAGGGGGGCTGGAGAAAGTGCGGCATGGACTTGTGAGAACTCCGGTTTTGTTTTCCTGGTTTTGTTGTAAAAGGAGGACCTCCAAATGCCAGGCTGGGAGAGGGGGGCAGCCTGAAGGGCCAAAGGAAGGTTACAAAAGGAGCGTGTGGGTTATCGGTGCGAGCGCATTCCTGCGGGGCCGGGCGGGCCCCTCGCACCAAGCCCGGGGAGCTGTTTGCACAGCGCCCGCCGCTCGGCCCAAGAACATTGCTTAAATTGTTTCTAGCGCTCTCAAGAGCTCGATTGCGCCTTCAGCAGCTACTTTAGCGATTGCTGCACGAGCAGGGGTTACCCCAACACCCCCTCCCCACGAAACAGGGCAGGGCTCGGAGGGACCCACACGCTGGGCAGGGGATGGAGGCACTTTTTATCCACCATCCACCTGCACGGCCAGACGGGTCGGAAACCCGAATAGAGACCCTGGTCCCAAAGCCTGTCCCCATCCCCAGGCCCACGGCAGCAGCTGCAGCTCTGGACGGGACCAGCAGGCTGGAGCACAGCGATTCTCCCGGCCCCAGCCCTGCCCGCAGCCCCCGGGGACGCTTCGGAGGAGGCGGCTGGGCTGTGCCACAGAGCACAGGACTCTGGAAAGGGCTGGGGATGGGGCCAGTGCTGTGCCAGACACCCCAAAGCGCTGGGGCAAGGCTCATCAGACACGTTTCTATGGCACCCAGGGCCAGGTGAGATGTCCTTTGGAGCTTATTGTCAGGGAATTAACAAACTGATTTATTTTTTCACTCCCAAGCCCCTCTCCACAAGTCCCAGGGGGTTAAAACCAGGCTGTGTCCACAGTGTGATGGACATGCACTCGGATGGCATCATTTGGAGGGGTCAGTCTCTCACATGTGTGGCTTTCAGCTCCAGAGGCTTCCCACACACAGCAACAATTTGCTGTCATAAAAAGATCAAATCATGCTTTTCTTATGGGTTGAATGCTCTACCCATCATACCCAGAGAACCAATACACAGGTGGGCACAGGAGGAGCCCAGGGATTTTTCTGTTAACGAGGCTGGGGCATGAGGGCCATTGTTAAAGACGATGGTTGACAGACATTCCGACATTTCCCATTCCCAGCCCATTTTCCTCATAACCAAGGGTCCAAAAGGGGTTTCAGTGAGCGTCACTGCTTTTGAATGTTTTATTAGAGACTGAAGCCAGTACAGGATATTGAGCATTTCAGCAGCAGAGCAATACAGTGCGTGGTTGGCAGGGTTTAATATGTATCTGATTGTATTTCCAATTACGAGAAATGCACTGAAGCCAGTCCTGAGGCAGGCCAGAGAGCTCCAAGCACCACAAATCTGGGCCATTTAGCTGCTATGAATTCTTCCTCTCTTCCCTCATGATTCATCTCGAGAGCATTTAAGTCCTTGTAAAAATGCATTGCCAATTAAAATGTGAGTGGCTCTGAAGGATTGGACAAATTGAGAAGTATCTTTTGCAGCAGGGTGGATTTGAGCATCCTTTTGGTCACATCAAGCAAAATCCTGCATGAGCCCGTGGGAATGAAAACTCCTGCTGAAAACTTACTTCAAAGTTCGTGGCATCCTTCCTTAAATGAAAGTCAAGTCTGGATTGGGGCCAAGGTCTCGGAGCTCCACTTTAATGCTGTGCTGTGTGAGATGCAGCATCCCAAAGCAAGGCAAGCAAAACCCTTTTGGGAGAGGCTGAGCCCAAACAGGGGGTCGATTGCAAATCGTTGGTACCTGATGCTAGAGCCACTGGGGCTGCAGACACAGGAACCTGCTGTCTCATAGGATCACCGTGTTGGAAGAGACCTTAAAGATCATCTGATTCCAACGCCCCTGCCGTGGGCAGGGACACCTCTCACCTGACCGGGTTGCTCTTGCCCCCGTCCATGCTCAGGCAGCAGCACTGCCCTGCCTGTCCCCTCCACCCCGGCACAGCCACCGAGACAGAAGCTGCAAGTCCATCCTGTGCGCACAGGCCTCGCTCTCATCCCCCTGAAGCCTCTACAAGCTTCAGGCGGTGGCTCCCAGCAGCTTCAAACAACCGCATTAATCTGTGACAGCCTCCCCTGCCAGAGCGCGGGGAGCGCAGCAGGGGCGGCCCAGACAGACTTTTATGGCCACAAAGGCCACGTCGCACCTGCTGGCGGTTGTGAATAGACTTGCAGACAGCACCAGGTGTGCCATTGCAACAGATTGCACAACTGGGTGTGCCTTTCATCTATGTATAGAGCCTCGGCGAGGGGATGGAGCGTGCTCGGCAATTGTCCTAATTTAGCAAAAGTCCTATTTGTCCAGCGGGTCGCCCTGCGCGGTCGGCACGTGTATTTCAGGAGCAATTATCTCGCTTGCCCTTGGCCTGGCCCCGGCCCTGGCCCTGCGGGGAGTCGGGAGCGCCGCTTTCATGGCTGGCGGGATGGAGGGATGATAATGATGGATAATGAGAGGGGGAAAGGCAAGCGGTGCCTGCCGGGGAGCGCATCCCCGCGCCCAGGGAATCCCGCACCCCGCCGACCCCACGGGGCAATTCAGCTCGCTTGTTTACAGTGACAGCCTTTTAGGGAAGGCGTTTTAGTCATATCTCTGCTGGTGAGAGCTGGAGTAGCTCAGGGCTTGCAGACACTTTACAAATAGGGTCACGAAGAGCAATAACACACGAGGTCCCTGGACTCGCAAGGTGCTGGTGCCTTCTCTTCTGCCACCCAATAGCGAGCCCGACAGCGACACTGCATTGAAGATTTTATCATTCCGTGCTTCCTTAGAGGTCTGAGTCACAACTTCAGGTTCATTAGATTATTTCTACATCTCAAAGTCACATCGTAAAGACAGCAGAGATTCTAAGACTTGTGTTATAAAAGTGGACTGATCAATTGTACCCAATAAAAGATGCTGATCTCATGGGGATGGTGGGATGAGATCAGCTCAGTTCTGCAGGCTGCAGCCAGTATTCATTAGCAGCAAATGGGGACCCTGCTTTATGCTCACTGTCCACCCTCCACGGATGTATGTGTGGTGGCACGTCCAAAGGATCCATCTAAAATGCAGATGTGACTGCGAGATTCCATTAGAAGAACTTTCACCCTGCCTGGCTTGGCCAATGTATATTGGATTTGTTCTAATTAGGATCTTTGAAATGAGTCTTGATGAGTGAAGTAACATCTGAATTGTTCTGGTTTTATTTTTATAAATATGAATCATTTACTGTGTTGAAAAAAAAACCAACCCAACAAGGTCAAGCCCTTTGTCCCACATTTTCAAACCTTCATAATTGCTTATAAAATCTCCCACCAAAATTAACATGGAAAAAGTAAGAGGTTGAAGACACATTTATATTAAATATTGTAGATTCAAACTCCAGATCCCCTGCTGCTTTATGCACAGCTTTCAGTATATTGCTGCTTCAGTGGAAAATTCCCAAACTGTGGAAGAAAATGAAAATAATCCTGTGACTGTTTTGTGTGTTTGAGAATTGCACATTGTAGGGATGGTGAGGCAGAGCACAGGGATGGAGTATAGCATCCCTTGGGGTGTAAAGGCTTCAGAGCCACTGCAGTCCCCAGGAGTTTGTAGGTGTGTGCCCAGTGGACCCCTGGGGAGGAGCAGACTGGGAGGTGGGGACAACGCTTCTTGTCTGGCTGCCTGAGAAGCGCTGAGGGAATGCCCAGCTCATGCCACTGCCCTCCAGCACCACTGTCCATGAGAATCAACTGCCTAAAAACACTCTGAAGCCTCTAGGTTGTGTTGGTGAGGTCACCTGGGAGCAAGCAGAGCACTGATGCCACCCTGCCACCCCTGTGGCTTCCCTCCCCACACCTCCTCCACGCTGTCACATGTCCCCCTCTTCCATGCTGTGACCTCCAGCTCTCACCCCACCCCTGGGAAGCCTCTGCTGCTGCCCTGGTGGCGGTGGCTCCTCAGTGTCACCCTGCATGGCCCCAGCAGACACCTCCTGCAAGTCCCCCCATGCTGGTGAGTGATGGGGAACAGTCTCCTGCTGACCAGCAGCAGGAGCTGGGGTCAGATTTGGCAAGCCTGCCACTGCCCCTGGGGAGGTTTGGTATGCTAAGAGTCACAGTGCCTTGGAGGGGGCAAAAGATTTTATTTTTCCCAATTTCTACTTTATACAGAAAAAAAAACTTTTGACATGTATGCACACACATTTATTAGTTTTACACTAACCAGATAACAAGCTGCTATGTGACCAGTAATTCTGAATCAAATAGAAACTTTGGTAACTACAGCCTGGAATAAAAGGCATTATTTATTCTATGGACTGTAGTAGTTCATAAAGGCCTCAGCAGCTATCAGGACACACTGTGCTAGACAGAGCAGCAGAGACCCCACCTTGAAACACCTTCCAATGCAAATACATCAGACAGACAGAATTTATTTGCTTCTCACAATAACTCACCCCTTGACTCACTATGGACCAGGCCCAGCTCAACACAGCTGTGTCTGAACTTTCACAAAAAGTCTGACTCCACTGAGAGAGGCTGTTCCTTCTTCAGTGGCTTTCCAAGGACCTTTCCTCCCTATCAGGAGAAGAACCAGCAAGCAGCAATTCTAAAAGCTTTTTTTTTAAAAAAAACTTTTTTATTTATACACCTACTGAGATATGCAGTGATTTAAAATCAGCCACTGGACCCCATCAGACACCTCTGCTGCATTTATTTCAGCTGTTAAGTTTGCATATTTGCAGTCCTCTTCTAAACACACTTAGCACCTCAGTACTCCTGGAGGCATGTTGATTAAGTCAGTGAATAACATAACCCAGTGCATAATTAAATTGCCAGACTTGATTCTCTTTCATTCATGCTCTTAACAGTTTCACATGACAAAACAGTTCACATCCAAACTACACTGATAGAACAAGTGCTATATGTTCTAATTAGACCACTTTATTAAATCAAATTGTGTTCCTCAGTACATCTGTGTGGGTTGCACAGGCTTCCATGTAAACTACACAAATCATGATAAAATCACAATAAAGCACTTCCAATCATTAGATTCCAAGAAGTGTTATCTGAGGGGTAAGTCCCATTCCTCCCATTTGGGTGACAAGGAAATTGAGACGACAGAAAACCTCAGAGAAATCACTTGTGTTAGTTACCTCATAGTCAAATTAAAATAATTTGGCCTCTCAGGTCCTGCTCTAGAGGACAAAGTTTGATCTAATTTATCAATATTGCCCATAAAGCAAACAAAGAAGCATGTGTTCCAGCAGAAGCCCCCATCCTTCACCCCTCCATCACCATCACTGCTGCCCAGCATTGTGATGGGAACAAACAGGAGCACATAATCTTACAGCTGCTCCATTGTCACAGTGACACGTTAGCAGAAGGATTTACAGACCTGTTTGCTTATGAAATAAAGGTTTGCAGGTTCAGAAATGCAAACGTCTCCTCTGCACAGGAGCCACACACTGCAGAGAAAGCTGCTCCCTGAATGCTGTGCTGAACTCAGGAACATTGTTAAGGTACCTGGGACTATTAAGGTTTGCTGCTTTCTTCATCAAAAATATCAAAACCAACAATGAATACAATTAACCAGTATGTACAGACATGGTGAGAAGCTCCTGAGGCAGCTCCTGAGAGCTTGGACAGCCTTTCAAAACAGTGCTGTGAAAAAGGAGAACTGGACACATAACCTTTGCACAAAAATCCACATTTACCTCTCCAAGTCAAATCCTGGCCCCAGCGATGCCAGTAAGTATTTTACTAATAATAGAAATTTTGTTTAGATTTTAATTTGGATTTTACTTCCAAATTTATTTAAAGAAATATTTGTCTTGTGAGAAGTTTAGTTGATTGAGGCAGGCAGATTTTCAGCTTTCTGCATGCACAGCACCAGCAGAAATGCTTTCCTTAAAATCATGGTGCTTTACTTTTTGGGTAGTTTAGGTGCTATGTTGTTGTGGAACCACATGAAGCTGAAGATGACGCCCATTGTCTTCGGGAAAGTCTCATCATAAGCAAACTTCATGGATTCTCCTAAAGGTATTTCCACAACTTCAATCAGCTCTCCTTCTTCAGGCTGGCCACCTCCTCCACTGCTTCTCATCTGGTCGTTTACTTCTGCATAAAACAATGTCTGCCTAGAACCCGTCACACCAACTCCAGACCTGGAAAAAAGCAGAGAGGAAACTCTGTTTTACATAGAAGGAAAGCAGCAAGGAGCTAGGAATGGAAACCTGGGTCCTTAGAGTGTGAGACAGAAATTGATTGAGACAGAATTACTGAGACAGAAATCAATTCCAACTTTCACACAGAAATAAAAACAGTTTTGAATGCAGTGCCATATAAAATAGATCCATCTTCAAATGTATTCTGGGGAAAATGTGAATTTGGGAGAAAATGAAAAAAGAAAAAAGATTTTATATTGGTGAACTGTTGTTCTACACACACTGATGTCAATAGAAGTCCTTTCAGCTGACCTTAGGGAGAGCTGAACTGCAGGATGACTTACAGAGATGCACAAACAACAGGAAGAAGCTCCCCAGTGTATCTGTGTGCTGTCGTGCTACATTTGTTTGCTTGTTTTTACACAAATATTTAGATTTTTTACTCTTAAGAGGATTATGTCCATTCACAGCTGGAGTCCTCCACTCATGGACTGGATAGGTAAAGAAGGGAAAGGCAATCTGAGACTCGCTCTCTATCCTTCCTGAACTTTAGCCTTGACCCAAATGGACCACTGTAAGCACGCACATGTCCAAAGTAATTCAGTCTCCTTGCTAAATTTGCTTCAGTGGATTTAGTTGAGGATATTTTAGATTATGTAGTCTTTCTTCAGCTAGACCGCTTGCTGTGTATTATACTTCTTATTTCTTAATCCTCTATTTCCTTAGGACTATTTAATTTAGGTATTATTAAATGAGGGATAAGTACATAATCCACTCATTTAGTCCTTCCAAGAAAATATTCACATTGTAATCGCAATTTCTTCATTTCACATGATTACAAGCGACTTTTCACATTAAATCTGGATCCAAAGTTCACTGAAACTATGAATGAGGCATTAGGGCAAGATGAAAAATTAGCTTCCATATTATTAACCATACAGAGGATTCTCAGATTTGTAGCAGTGTTATGATCTTAGAGTGTATATCCAGATTTACCCAATCATTAGTCAACTAAATCTTTCACTTTATCCAGCACACATCACACCCCATAGCAGGAATTAATCATTTGTCTCTCAGTTTTCTGAGAACACTGGCAATTATTTTGTTTGGGGAATTAATAGCGACTACTGAAGTTGTTTTCTAATTGTGGCTATTGAATTTGGTTTCTTACATCAATATACACTTTTTAAAAATACTGAATAGGGAGTGGACCAGTGAATTCTTTTCCTAAAATTGCTTCTGATGCATTCTGTGACTTTGGACAAGATGTGTCACCCCTTCAGGATCATTCCTGTACATCTATGAAAAGAAACTTAACCATCGTTGGCATTTTCAGGAACTCTGAAAGTTGATATTGGACCTCTTTCATTCTGTGCTCATCACTTTATTCCAGTGTTAGGACTGGGGTTTTTGATCCACATTTTAACCAACTGTAAAATCTGCAAGACAAAGAATGCAGTTTGCTGGTCACCACAGGTTCCACAAAAAACACAGGACTGTGTACAATATATTTAATGTCCTGTCACGCCTGACACCTTCCTCTAGGATGCCCCACCTGGAACGAAAATGATCCTAACCTGAGCATTTCCATGTCCACTTGATATTATATAAAAGTTATATACAAAACTAGCAAATTTATATAAGAAGTACTTCTATAAGAACATTCTGGCTTGATTATTTACAGCATAATCTCCTTCTGTAGCACCTGTGACCATTTCTTTATGAAATAGTTACAGCTGTGGAAATAATTCCCTTTCCACACATCTTTTCTATAAAGAAAAGAAAAGCAATTTCCAAGGTGCTACATTGTAAGACTCGGGTTCTGCCACCACAGCTCAATAGCAGGGGGTGATTTCCATATGGTGTAATTTCTTTGTACTTATTCATATGATACTGTCTTGTTATGAACTAAATATATCAAGAGTAGCTTCTACACTTAATATACTTGGAAAGATGAAAGTCCTGGACATCAAGGTCTTTCCTTTGTTATGATGCCCAAAATTATGGTATTTCTTCACATCTACTGGCATATAATTAACCACAGAAACAAACAAAATTTGTAACAATACATAATCAAAGGAGGACATGCTCACATGATCATTCCCTCTTGATTACCTAACTGACTCTGGTGCAACTTTGCCAGAAGATATTAGTTACAAAGTAATAAAAACCTCCAAATGAGCTAGAAATAAAATTAAAGAATGCTGGTATTAATAATTAATATTCATTACATTCTATTCTACTCTTTCCTCACCAAACCAGCAAAACTGACATTTCTAAGCCTACCTAGAATCCCTTCACTATTTAGATGGTGACTTTGCAGACTGTTGTAGGATGTTATTTATAAACACATTCACTGCTTTAATTTGTTGTCTGATCTCCCTCAAGGGAGTTGGCAGTCCCTCCCAATTTGATGATACTAATCTGGGAGGAGTTGTTGACTCCTTCAAGGGTGGAGAGGACCTGCAGAGAGACCTCAACGAATTAAGAGATGGGCAATCACCAACCATACGGAGTTTAACAAGGGCGAATGCTGGATTCTGTCTTCAACATCCATCCTCACAAGGTGCAGCAGAGGGACAGTCATCTCTTCACTCCTGTGGCCAGCAACAGGACCCAGGGAAACAGCATGAAGCTGAGTCAGGAGAAGTTTAGATGGATATTAGAAAAAAGGTTCTTTGCCCAGAGGGTGTTTGGGCACAGGAACAGCTCCCCAGGACAGCGGTCACAGGCCCAAGCCTGACAGAACTCAAGAAGCCTTTGGACAACGCTCTCAGGCACAGGGTGTGACCCTTGGGGTGTCCTGTGCAGGGTCAGGAGTTGTACTCGATCCTTCTGGGTCCCTTCCAACTCAGTATATTCCATTAATCTCTGATTCTAAAAGACCATTTCAATGGTTTCAGAAAGAAGTTGAAAGATATATACTTTAGTTCTTAAAAGAGGCAAATATTGTACCTTTTTCCAATTGGTATTTCATTCTCTAAATGCTGTGGCTTGCACAGCTACCAGTTGATCATTTTTGCATAGATCCATATGGACTGCCCTTTACTAAATTAAATATTCTCCGGTATTGCTTACTGCTGTCTTTCACGACATTTCCAGACTGCTAATGTATCCTGCTTGTCCTTAGAAAATTGCACCAAAATCAATGCTATTCACATTTTGTCTGTCTTAGTACCTTTGGCTTTTATAGAAATCAGAAGTTAGTTTTGTTGCTTTGAAGCTTTTCTGATTGAAGTAATAAAGTGCTTTTCCATATAACCTTGCAAAACATTTACATTTCATATTTCATACATATATTACAGTGATTTTGGGCACTGGAGCAGAGGAGGAAGAGGGCAGAGAAGGAGAAGGTGGGTCTGACTGGTGAACAGGCTACAGAAAATTCTATGTTTGCAGTGTGCTATCAGGTTTACCTGTCACTAGGGATTTCCTCTGCTTTTGCACAATTACTTGCACTTTCTGAGTATGCTGCTTAAGGAATTTTGATGTGCCATTAATCATCTTTATACTCCTCTTTCCGCTACTGTCTTCTTCTAACCCACATCTGTGACATATGCTTTTCCTTATCCCAGTATTTCCCGCTACAAATAAAACACTTTTGCCATGGTGTGAAATGAGTCACCTATTAACAGATTACAGCTATGTTCATTAGCTTTGCATCTGTGGAAATCACAGGGGTCAGCACACCCGAACTGCAAGTGATGAGTTTCAGCCTGGGAAAGCCACCTTCCTGATAAAGGTGCCTTCCTGGGACAAGAGAGGCCTGGCTGGGGGCAGGGTGAGCAGGTCTGAACTCAGCACCAGTCCATGCTGAGACTTCAGGTTTTGGTGTCACTCCAGGGTTTAGCACTGTGCTGCCCAAACCTGGTATGTCATGGCTCACACTGACCCAGACCTACTAAGCCTGGCTTGACCTAGCTGACTGTTCTGGCTGTATTCTCATGTGTCTGCACAGGGCTTGACTTATTTGCAACTGTGGGACAAAGGCAAATGGTCTACACAAAACACAGCTTGGTTTTCCTTGCCTTTTTATCATGAGGATCGGTTTCCTTCAAGGAGTTTATGGTTGTCCCAATTAACAGCTACATGGCTGACAAATACTCCTTGTCAAGTCATTAGGACTTAGGCTCACAAGCCCTGTAATTTCAACAGAGAGATTTTAAACCCCAAAACTCTGTTAGCACTAATCTTTCTGCATTGCTTCAGACAGTTAGAAACCTCCATTACCTTTGACAACAGCAAGTCTAGGAATGTAAGCATGTCAAAGTAAGGATACCAAAGTCATATGGTTTTCATCAAAATAGTAACTTCTATATGTTTAACACATCAAAACAAGATTGTGTGCTGCCTTCCCATATTTCATTTTGAATAAAACGCTCAAGGAGTGAGATTAAATCATGCTATGGCTTTTAAAGCCCTGGGCAACACACTTTTAGGCAACGCCACACCAGAGAAGGAGCTTCTGCAGAATGACTGTGAAGCTCTTCTCAGCTCCTGCCCAGGGGTGGGACAGGCTGGCAGAGGCTGTAATTACAGGATTTCCATCTACTTCCTCCTCAGACCAGGGGAAACACAGGAGGGCAGATTGTCACTCCAACCTGGCTTTGAAACACTGCAATAGCAGCTACCAAAAGCCTTTGTTTTAACTCTTCCCTTTTATCAAATGCATGAGGAAATACACAGTACATGAAATCGAGCTCACAAAATGGGACTTTTCACTTCTTCTAAACTCATGAGCATAAAGATACAGTACATACAATTTTTATCAGAAATGGAAACAGTATCTTATGGCTTAAAAAAAAAGGTTTAGTAGTGTCTGAAGCCACAAGTGAGATTGAGTTTGCCTACAGTCAGTGAGTTCTTTCTTCACAATGAGCATGCACACGTGTGCATGTCCACACATTACACTGGTAATCAGGGCAAAATTCAAAGCTTCTGTTTCAGATTAGCTTTGCCTTTTTCTCGTGTCTGGATGCTTGCCTATGCCAACTAATTAT